AATAATGTAATCACTTCTGAGTCTCCCACCTGGATGATTTTAATGGATTTCGTGACTCTGTGATTATTATTCTATGATGAATATCCTGGACCACTTACAGACGGCAGAGATTGTTTTAAGTGAGTGTTTTTTGATTTGTTATTACCAGAGAACATTTTTTTATACATTTTACATGAACTGACTCATTTCTGTAAACTGGCTATTCCATTTTCTGAAGCAGGACAATGTTCGTTCTTGGTTCCAAGATTATTTCTACCATCGAGTTGCATTCGCTGTCTGCCTTCTGCTGTCACATAAAATTCCTCTCTGTGGACCAGCCCTCTAATTTACCATCTTGGTTCACTCTCAGTTTGCTCTGGGACAGAGAGCAGGTAATGTTTAAATTCTAGCTCAGACAAAAGTAAGAAAAAGAATTGAGTTAAAACTGTTGATGAATTAGTCCTTTAATGCTTGGTGCTTTCAGCATTAGATGAAACACACTGAGAGGGGTTCTATTGGGACAACCCTTCAAGTCCAACCCAGATGAAATCTGTGAAATCAACACTAAATGAACAGTTGTTGGATACAAGTAGGACATATGCTACGGACTAAAATGCCTACGGCATAAAACGATATCAGTATCAACGAAGCATCATCGTATTGTTTATTAGTATGCTATGAATGGGAGCCTGAAATGTCTTGTTGACAGCACAGAGAATTTCAGCATTCACTGATTTTAACTGTAGTTCTCCACATGTCGTTTGTTTACCTCTTTATCGGATTGTTGCACGACTAAGTTTTAATGACACCAGAGCGGTGCACATTGAAACACTCTGTCTGTGCACAAAGGACGTTTGATTGTTCTGTTGCTTACTCTGTTTTTGTACATAGCGGTAAACTTGCAAAATAAGATGGCGTCACTGCGCCAAGCCATGTGTTATCCCCCCCCTCCTTCATTGATTGTGTTGTTTTTGGGTGGTTCAGGGTTTGTGTAAGGTGGTATCAATCATCTACTGCGAGGCTGTTTAGTGTCAAAATATTTAAAAATTAATCATCTGTTGCTAAAACAAAAAAAAACATTGTTCCTTACCCACAACCCACCAAAAAGATTTGATTTGGTCAATTAGGCGCCAACCGAAATCATATGCGCAGGACTAGAGGATTCAATACTTTTATGACATCTTGACATCTTTTCAAGTATGGTAAAAATGTGAGATGGATATAATGCACAGACGAGTATTTCATCTTAATAACTGATTTTGTTTTTTAACTTATTGGTATTTTATATACTTTCAAGATCTTATTTCAATTTCAGTGGCAGTGGCGTCATTGTTCTGTCCTCAGTGCTTCATTTTAACTTAATTTTCAAGCGTGTCTTTTGCCCGCTGGAAGCAGAGCATTACTGATGATAGTGGCAGTTATTTTTAGCATGTTATTTTATTAGCAATCAATCAGTGGCCTCACTAACTATTTAAATATTAAACACTTTGTAGTCTGCTGATGGACAGAATAGACCCAGAGAACTTAAAGACTACAATACAAAGACTATTGAGCTCCTTACTGCATGTGTGCCGCTCTGTTGGTTACAGTTTTCAAAGTAAGGGTATAATAACCGGTATAATATGTGGAGTTTGGAAAAATAAGAGAATTATAATAGCTTGTAAGTCATACAGCTGTTTGGTTGACCTATCACTTTTCTCTGGGGAAAACATTTCCTAAATTGCAAAAGCTCTGACTTTTTATGATTAATGTTTGTATGCACAAAGGTGGAAAATTATATACACAAAAAACCTGACTCGTAAACTTGGCGTAGTGACTGGAACAGAACTCTCTGCATGTTTCCTTCAGCTCATTAACTCCCACAAGCAACCATAAAATATTATTGGGACGTTAACATTTCTCAGTTCAGTGATTAGTTCCAGATGAAGAAAATGTCAGGTCTGAATATACAGCTTTGCTTAACACCGCTGTTTACCTGCATGTTGGTCAGCCATTGAAATTGTAACAAAGCAGTAAGTGTTTGTTTTTACAGCAACTGGAGAACAGCTTGAATGACTTTGGGGAGAAATGGGTTCTCAACCCCGGGGATGGAGCCTTTTATGGACCAAAGGTGAGTCATGCGTTGCGGTTATGATTTTACATTATCTGTGAAACAGAAGCAAGGCCACTGCTGATCCCTTGTGATCCCTTCTTTGCAGATCGACATTCAGATCAAGGATGCTATAGGTCGGTACCATCAGTGTGCCACAATTCAGCTTGATTTCCAGCTCCCTATCCGCTTTAACCTCACCTTTGTCAGGTAACCCTTCTACTGCTTTTTATTCACATTAAAGTAAAAAGGAAGAAGAAACGAACATTATTCTTATGTAGAAACATTGGAGAAATCTAAGGGTGCTCTGATTGATGGGCCACCAATTGTTATCTGCCGATATTCTCTCTAAAATGGTTTCATTGGCAATCTCTGTAGGTGCCGATCAGATGACAGGTTTATTTTATTCCACAGGAAAGTTGTATTCAGTCTTTTCCCACCGTTAGATTTACCTGGGTGAGCGCCCTGCATATTGATGGCCGATGACTCATTTTGTCATTTTACAAAGAAACAGAGCCAGCTGTTTTGTTTTGAGTAAACACTAAACTAAGGTGGTGAAATAAGAGATGTACTAGAAATATGGGATAAAATGAAGTAATTTTTATTTATTTTTTTTTTAAACCCCCTTCAAATGATTTTGTAGCCATGATGGTGACGACAAGAAGAGGCCAGTGATTATCCACAGAGCTATCCTGGGATCGGTAGAGAGGATGATCGCTATTCTGACTGAAAACTATGGAGGCAAATGGTTTGTAAACAATCAATTTTAAAAGGTTGACATGTGAAGTAGGGGCTGACTCCAGACAGAGATGTTTTTGTTTTATTGCATTTCTTCCTGAGCACTGTTAACGATTTTTCGATTGACTAAAAAACTCAGTCCTGTGGGTGAGTGAATATTTTGTAGAATGTACCTTGCCTGCTTTTCTGCTAACTGGTAACTGTTGTGTTTCAGGCCACTGTGGCTCTCTCCTCGTCAAGTGATGGTTGTACCTGTGGGACCGACCTGTGAGGAGTACGCTCAGAAGGTAACCACAGCTAGTTTAGTCCGTACTCTGACTTAATAGACAGCACAAACAGTACAGGTACCTTGATTCAACACTATGTTGCCTCTGTTTTATCTCTGATGCACACACAGGCCGGTGTGGTGTTTTATATTCATTGACATAACATGGCCATTTAGTATTGAACTAGATGACTGATTTAAACCCCAGATTACTGCCTCTAAAGTTAATGCTTCTGCATCTTTAAAGAGAAAGGAAAGCTACAGTTAAGTACAAATTTGCTTTTATTTTCATATGTCATGCCATCAGTTATATTGCTTATGATGACATTGTGCTCAAAGTAAATTGCTGAGATCTCAGACAATCATCGATGATGGTTGAAACCAAGCTCACAGTTTAGCCAGTTCAGCTACCACTTTATTCTGATAAAGCAAAGCTGCGCACACAACTACAGCAAGTAAACTAGGAAGTCATTAAGCTATGATCTGACACAGACAGTTCAGTAATCTGTTTGCTTGTTTACAATCTTTTCTGTTTATTTGTGTTTGTTGCCCCTATTTTTAGTGAATATAATGTTATTACAACTGATGGCCAGATTTACACAAATGAAACCACCGTTTATCTTTAGAATGTGTGGAGCATGAATTTTATCATTTTTGGTGTTGAACACATTGTTACTTGCACAAAAAGCCCATTTGTAAAATAAACAGCTGTACAGTCCTGATATGGAACAGACAGCAGGTCCACACACTGATAATAATGGTTGCAGAAATGTGCTAGTCCAGATTTGAAAAACAGGATTAGTAGAAGTCAGTTAAAATGATTATAGGAAATTAACTTTTAAAACACACTGGCATTGACTCAACTTTAACTGTTGGTGGTTCTCTGGTTTATGCGGCAGGTCAAGCAGGAATTCCACAACGGCGGCCTCATGACGGACGTGGATCTCGACCCTGGCTGCACTCTGAACAAAAAGATCAGAAATGCACAGCTGGCGCAGTACAACTTCATCCTGGGTCAGTGTCAACACGCTCTCTTTCACTCCTCTGTCTTTCGTTTCCTCTCTTTATCTCTGTTATCTCTTACTCGCTGATTGCTCCAGATATTGATTTCTTTTTGTCCTCTTTGCATGTTTCCCGGCACAGTGGTGGGAGAGAAGGAGAAGACGAGTAACACCGTGAATGTGCGCACCCGGGATAACAAGGTCCACGGCGAGCGCACTGTGGAGGAGTGCATCGAACGTCTGAAACAACTCAAGTCCAGCAGAAGTCGAAACGCAGAGGAGGACTTTTGAGCTTTCTCAAACCCGCTGCTATCAATTTGTCTTTCACTCAACAGTACCTCGAGTCTGGTAACTTTTAAAAGGACATGTGGTTCAAATCAGTTTTTGATGAGGGATAAAACTACTGGTGCCTAGTGTCTGCTCTCTGTCCACTTAAAAATCACATTTTACAGATTCTGTCTTTCTGGTGTCCGCCTTTGCCTCTTTACTGTATCACTGTTTTCGGTTGTCAAGTCTCATGGTTGCTTCACTCATGGAATGAAGTATAATCGTCCTTATCCATTTCTGCTTATACGGATAGGGTTAGGGTCTTCAAGCAGCTTTATAGAACAACTTTGTACGATGGATAAACTGTCTCACAGAACCGTATCCATATATATGGTAAACCGAAAAAAAACGGGAAAATCGTCTTAGCAGTTTGTATCAGTCATTTTTTCTTCAGGGAATTGTACATGAGTTACAATTTTGATAATTAAACATTATTATTCTTGATCTGTGTGCCATGTTTTTTTTTTAGATTTACCCTTTCTTTCCTGTGGTGAAATTTCAGCAGCAGTATTGTCTTTTTCTTTTGCATAACACATCTTTCCATCAGTCAACTGTCACATGTGAAGAAGTTAATGAGCATTAAAAGCATCAAATAATTACAGAAATAACAATATTCAGGTGACTAAAGTCAATATGTATGTATGTATATGAAAATGTTTTTCACATAATGTAGTAAGTTCATATTCAGGCCAAAGTTGAAATGATTAGTTTGAGACTGGAAACATTTAATTTTCCACAAGAGAGGGATGGAGGTTTGGATGGGAGTTGGAGAGAGAAGTGTCAGAGAGGTGTTTTGCTAGAGTAAAAGTGGATCCTTATCACCATCCTCCACTAGTGCATCATCACCTAGGATGGAAATCAGTGATGGAGCTGCAGAGTAAATGCCTGATGCTTCTCATTATTACATGCTTCCTGAACTCTGAGACCATTTACTTTTAAAGTCTGCACCATTACGCTAAAGCATGAGAGACATTTTTTAATTCTAATACTCTGTCTAGTCTGCTTTATACTTAAGAATATTTAAAACAGTAATAGGAGTATGTTTATTCCTCTTTTCATAAGAGGAAAATTGTTCCAATTACATGTAACTAGCAGGATGAAAGATGCAGAAGAGATCACAGAAATGAGTATATATTACTTTTAGTGCTCTTGTTATGTACTTTCACTGAATTTCTCTCCATCTGCTCCCATTATTTCTGCTACAAACATGCAAATGTACTTCAAATTGTAATACAGTGTCAGTTTTTTATGACACTTGTACCCAACTCCCACTTTCATTCTCAGATTATTATTCAGACCACTAGTGGGTGCTATATGTTTGTACTGGAGTTGCATAGCTGGAACAGACAAATAGTAAGAGCAGTGTGTTTCAGCAGTTTATAAAGTGGGCATTGATCTGTGCCAGGCCAATTTTCCTAGGGACTTTATTTTGTAGAGAAAGAAAACCCACAAACTTGGAAAAATAAATAAATGCTTTTGTTGTGGCATGTTTTTAGTCCCTCTTATTATATAACTACTTAAGGTTCGCTATTCATGAAGTTTGGAAGCTTCTGCCCTGATATTGGCTATAGGAGATATTAGTCAGTTTTATTTGGAAATGACCCATTTAAATCATGCAAACGTCTCCCATTAATTTAAGTAGGAACATAAGCACTAAGGTTAAAGTTAGTAGAGGATGAAAGATGTCACAGTTGCAGAAAACGCCACAAGCACCCAACCTGACTGCAGGCCAATGAAAACATTGCTTTTGGCTGCTCAACAAGTTACAAGTAATTAAAATAAATTAGAAGCCATCAGTTATTTTGGCCAATTTGAACTTTTCAGCACCAAATAAAATATGTTCACAGGTTTGGTTTCTTGTGTCAGTCTATATTTTATGCTTACTGAGACACAGTTCTGTGGCATAGTTAAATAAACTTATTTAAATTCTCTTTTATTATTTTGTTGGATGTTAGGGTTTTGGATTTGTAAAGTGATTTTGAGGTAAAAAAAAAACTTAAAAAAAGACTGCCAATGCACAAAAAGTAACTGCTAGCTCACCACTTACTTACTTGTCATACTCACTCGTAAATCATAAAAGTCTAACATTTACATTTGTAAAGAAATAGGAGAGTAAAAATTAAACTACCAGAAATCAGATGACAATGAGGACACCCTCATACGTATCAGATCTGACCACAAGGTGGAACAGCTGAACCAGGATCTCGTGGGGGTAGGAGTGGGGCTAATGTCAGTGGAGTGTGGGAGAGAAAAACATTTTGATAAGGGGTTAATGAAAAAGTCAATGGAGTAGGAGAGTGTCAACAGACAGAGCGAGACAGCGAGAAACCTCTGGGGATTCGGCTCGGCTGTTGACTTTCTGCCTCTCTGTGAATCCTCGCTCCCTCCTTCCCCGTTGGATCCTTCCTGTATGCTTCACTGACAACCCTGGCCATGAAGGGTCAAAACGCTTCAGTGAACTGAGCAAACTTTTCTTTCTCTCGCCACACATGCATTTGAAGGTATCGATTCACATGTTGAAAAGGCCCCACTGCTACAGCTCTTCACTTAAGATGATGATGGGATAAGTCATGGTAACCTTAAGTGAGCTCTCTTTTTTTATGATGGAAAATTCAGGTTAGTCCATAGTTTTGGAGAGTATGTCTGGTTTCATTGGAATATTTATATGCTTTGTGTCATCAAGTCAAGTACTTGTCTAAAAAAAACCACTCAATTTCTCAAGTTAAATATTAATAATGCTTTTAAAAGCTACAAGCTGTTGAGTGGAGATTATAAACAATCTCTGTTTTATTAATGATCTAATTCAAATGAATTTTGGGAAATAAATGCATCTGCTTTCTTGTAAGAGTTAGATAAAGAACTTGAACGATGCCACTCTCTCTATAAAGCTGGGGCAGGCAGCCAGTTAGTTTAGCTTAGCATTAAGTAGGAAGTGGGGGAAAACAGCTAGCCTGGCTCTGTCTGAAGATAACAAAATGTGCCTCCGAGCACCTCTAAAGCTCACTAATTAACACATTATATCTTGTTTATTTAATCCCAAAATAACTGGAGAGTAAAAACAACTATTTACTTATTTTAGGGGGGTATAGAAAGGCGACTCCCTTCTGGAGGGCCACCATGGGATCTTATCTCGTTTGAATTGTGCAATGAATTACACATATGATGTTTGTCAATTCAAAAGATAATCTTGCGAGAATCAAAAGTCTAAGTATAAGACTGTGAAAATACGTAGTTAGAAAGACTAAACATCCAAAAGTGGAGTAAGTGAAGTCATAACTGTCCACAAGCTACCCAGTCGCTAACGCTATGATATCTGTGTGTGTTGGTGTTGGTTATGTATATTGTGCAAGATGAGAGATGTAGTTCACTGTAGTCACACAATAATTTTATACATATATATCTGTTACCTTTAGACAGAGCCAGGCTAGCTGTTTTTTGGCTTAGCTAAGCTAAGCGGCTCTAACTTCATATGGTATGAGTGGTATCAATCTTCTCATTTAACTCTCAGCCAGAAAGCAAGTTATATCCCAAAATGTCGAACAATTCCTTTAAAGCACATGAAGTATGCTGAGATTTCTCATCCCACCATGTCTCTTTATTCTCAGTTGTTTTCCTTGTATTTGTATTTATTTGCGTTTATAACCATGACAACTGACTACAGTCACTGCTTGTATATTCAGGATGTATGATGAATGTAAAAGCTTTTTCCTTGTACTTTTTTCAGACAGCCAAAAGCCAAAAAGCCTCCCCTGTGACACACTCATGTTCCTACCTACTTGCAGCTCTTTCATCCTTGAGTCATATTGCTTCTGGACCAAAGAAATGCATATTTGAATGCTTACCAACCATTTTCTTCTACAGCATATTTCTCTGTCTCTGCAGCAACTCTTACCACCCATAACACCCTCACATACACACACAAAACCTCCCCCTGCACTATTACCCCTCTGCATAAATGCAACAGAACCCTAAATTATGGTCAGCCGCTTGTGAAGTTAGTTTTGCTTGGGAAAACCAAGCTGCCATCTTTAATATCATAATGTTACCAAATTATATGGTTCTAATTGGGAACTGTTTGATCACGCTTTCTGGCATCTGGCAAGCTAGCGTGTGACCTTAACAGGCTTTTTTTCTCATCTCAAAAGTATGACCTTTGCTTCTGACCCAGCATAAATGAAGTAAACCACTTTACACCAAGGAGAGACCTTCTCCACCAGTCACACCCTGCATGTAGCCAACACCAACAACTCACTGTGGATATCTGTGATTGCTGCATGTCAAGGCAAACCGAGCAGCAGTACAGTAGTGAGTGAGGATAAAAAAGAAAACTACAGAAAATATACAAGATTTGTGTCAGCGGTTCTCTTCAGAAGTCTGCTCTGAACTGATAATGTGGTATATAAATGATAAATAATCTTACAACCAATGACTCCCCCACAGATGAGTTAATTTAACCCCTTCATCAACACCACCCGTCGTGTTCCAAATGTTGATTTTGAGTGGATGTTTTTACAATATATTTTTTAATACTGTTGAATTGTCAATGTTTAGCTCAGTTTGGTCAAGTTTGCATTCTTACAACAACTTTGAGTGGAAGTGGTTTGCCCTTTCTGTACTACTACTATTACTAGAAACACAGTGGTTCAACATGGAAGATATAAAAAAGCTCATTCTAAGGTAACAAAACATGGTTGTTATGTTCAGATGATTAGAAATAGAGATAAATAGATAGATAGATAGATACTTTATTTATCCAGAGGGGAATTCAAGTTTTTTCTTATTTTATTAGTTTTTTAAATTATACACTAATGAAAACATACCTATGACTATTATACTCCATTCCTGCCAACAGAACCTCCTCAAGGTTTTGTTGCATTTTCATTATCTTAGAATGAGCAGTTTTTCTTTGCAGACACAGCCAGTGCTTATTCCCAGGTCGTCAAATACAGACAGAGCAGTGTTCAGTTAGATGCAGTCTGCAACTTCACCTCTAGAT